AAATGGCAGCCGATGCTGCTGCTCTTAGACAATTTTAATGAGGATAATTAATAATATAGGGAAAATATATACACTTTGTTTGGATAAACCGTTTGGTTATTAACTTATTTTACAACAGTGGGTGGGGGTGCAGATGGGGTGCAATGTTACTATTTTGCACTGCCCCATTTTGGGCGGGGTTAAAGACACATTTGGTCACTGAGATTACAAAATTGGGACATGTTTAGTCACTAAAAAAAATTAATATCAAATTTGGTCACTATAATTATTAAAACTGGACGCATTTAGTCACTCGCCGTTAGTCTCCGTCAAACTCCGTTAATGAAGTCCGTTAAGTGCTGATGTGGCAAACAGAATTGCCTAATCAGCCGGATATAACCCAACAAAAATAAAACCCGACCCGCCACGTCATTATAACCCGCCACCTCATTAAAACCAACCCAACCCAACCCATGACCCAACCCTACCCAACCCTTCTTCCTCCTTCCTCCTCAACCCAATTTAGGGTTTTCCCCATCCCATCCAAATTCGCTGAGCGGGGAGAAGATCTCTCCGCCATTAATCTGCCATTATGGGATGGGGAAACGAATTCGCTGAGCGAATTGAACCGACAGGTCCCTGGAACCCTAATTTCATCTCATAATATTGACGAACGCCATCCGAGCTCTCGAAAACGTTCGATTCAAAGGGACCCGGAGGGAGGGCGTGTTTCGTCATCGTGTGTGTGTGTGTTTTTGTGGATTTTTAGATAGAAGGAAATGGTCGGGGGAGGAGCAAGCGGGAGGAAGAATGAGCAGGTGGTGCTGAACAGTAACAATGTGTTCGCTGCGCTCGACACCTTGAGGAAGAAGAAGAAGAGTTCCAGCTCCTCCTCCGCTGCGAATTCCGGCAAGGACCGGTCTAAATCGAAATCGAACAAAGAGGAGAAGGAGGCGGCGGAGAAGGTGTTCTGGTCGCCGGCGCCGCTCACGACGAAATCTTGGGCTGACGTTGAAGACGAGGATGACGACGATTACTACGCGACTACTGCCCCGCTCGCCACAGCCTGGGCTGCCGCTTCTGGTGCCAAGTCAGAGGAGGCCGGAGAAGGGTTTTCCCCATCCCATAATGGCGGAGAGATCTTCTCCCCGCTCAGCGAATTCGTTTCCCCATCCCATAATGGCAGATTAATGGCGGAGAGATCTTCTCCCCGCTCAGCGAATTTGGATGGGATGGGGAAAACCCTAAATTGGGTTGGGGAGGAAGGAGGAAGAAGGGTTGGGTAGGGTTGGGTCATGGGTTGGGTTGGTTTTAATGAGGTGGCGGGTTATGATGACGTGGCGGGTCGGGTTTTATTTTTATTGGGTTATATCCGGCTGATTAGGAAATTCTGTTTGCCACATCAGCACTTAACGGACTTCATTAACGGAGTTGGACGGAGACTAACGGCGAGTGACTAAATGCGTCTAGTTTTAGTAATTGTAGTGACCAAATTTGATATTAATTTTTTCTAGTGACTAAACATGTCCCGATTTTGTAATCTCAGTGACCAAATGTGTCTTTAGCCCATTTTGGGCGCAAAGAAAAGTAAAGGGGAGAGGGGAAGCGAGAGGTGCGCCCATATGGCCATATTTGGTTATTGTTAGTGGGAGGTGGGGTCTAGGGGAGTGAAAAGATGAGTAAGTTAAGTTATTTTATTACTTTTTATGTTTTCATTAATTTATAAATAATTATAATTATATTAAATATTTTTTTTTACCCCTACTTTATGCACTCGTACTTTTTCTCCCAAACAACAACTTACACCTTGCTTAAATTTACTCCCCCTAAAATTTACACCTCTATTTGCACCCCCCTCGTTGCCTCTTATGGGTAATCATCAAAATTGCATTGAAGCATTGTGGAACTTGAAGCCAAGCCTCTCTCAAAGTTTACAAATGAAGACCTATAATGCTATACAAGTAACTCATTGTATACTATCGGGCTAACCGCAACCCGTGGGGCAAAAAATGAGGGTTTTAAGGCTAAAATGGCCTTTTAGCCCCCTCGAAAACAAAAAGGGTTGCAACGAGGGGGCTACTATTTTCTGTTTCGTATTTGTATTCGTAACTTATGAACAGTTTAAGTTTTGTTTTTAATTTAAATTTTATATATTTATTCATGATAATTTGATACGAACATTCTGATAAAATTTGAGCAATTTCTAAGATACTTTTTTAATAGTTAAAATAATTAGTTAATCACTTCATGATATGACAGTGCTAAAATGATGCGAAAGTTTTTTGCTAAAAAAATATCAAAATGGATGATACGAACACGGAACCGGTACCTGTAGTTATCAAAGTCGCACAACCAATAATAGGAATAAAAACCAGGGATAAGGTGGTATTGAAGTTCAAACTCGCACCTGGGAGAAGGCTCTTTCAATACAAGGGTAGAAGCTCATGGGAAATACTTGATTGATACAGAGACATGCTCAACGCGATTGGAGTCCACCAACGACGAGAGCAAAATTCACAAGCCAAAAGCTCAATGAACAAAAAGGGTTTATTTCTTCAATTAATCAAAGTCTTCAATCTCTTCCCTAAAAATCGTGTTTAAGACTTTATATAGGCTAGGGAAACAACAAACTTGTCCAAACACATAAAAGGAAAGGAATCATAAACCAACAAGGTATCTATAATCCGTTAGCTCCGATCCCTGGGCAGGAATTGCACCTTCTGTCCGAATCCCCGAGGTGTTATTCGAAATCCCTCTAACCGGGGATTTTGGCTCCCGTCCGTCTTCTTGCTCCCATGTGGTACGTCCTTCTTTATACTTCGAGCAAGGTGATTTTGGGTCACCCGGGAGGCTCGCATCATTCCCTCCCTGTTGAAGAAGCTTTTCCCTCAAAGCTTGAGTAAAGCACAATGCATTATACTCTCATTCGAACTCAAGCATACCTCAGAACTCATGATCCAAGCAAGCTTCCCAACCTGGCTTCCAAATGAAATTCTATGCATCATCAAGAAAGAACAAACAACCTCCACAATCCCACGGAATCAAGATCTCAAACTGAACGGCAAACAAGGGCTCCAATCCATGAACTTCAAAGATCAAGTCGTCATAGTTCATCCCTTGAATCCTCCATCGGGGTTCAATGTCTTCTCGTCTTTTTTTCGTGTACTTCCGTTGAAAGAAAAGAAAATATCCACAGAAAGATGAAGATTACGTCACTGCTCATCTCCAGGAGAGCCTCGAACCTAGTCTGCACACTCTTTAGTCTTCGTTACTTGTTTTGCAGTGACGGTCCTCAAAGCTTGTGGGCTTCTGCAAGAGAAATCATCATCACAATAGTCATAAAAAGGATTGAGATAGACCATCTGTTCCTTTTCCACCATGACCTAAAATATGATGAATATGAAGCCCGTAGGGTTGCAGTTATAGTAGACATCTCCATCTTCCTTTTGCGATTCTGGAAAGTTGGTAGATGATTCACTCCCTTCGAGTTTCTTTCGCTTTGGAGTGCCTGGGTTGGAGAGACCACTCTTTTGCCTTCAAGAAACTCGCCAGAATCGGTGGCATCATTCGACTAGTCCTCTAGCTCAACGTTGTCTTCCTCAGAACTCGAACTTTGTTACACCGGAGAACACGAACTCAAACTCTGATCAGTCAGGGTTTGAAGCAAGGTTCCCATAAGATCCATATGTGTTGCAAGCTTTTTTATGGCATCTGCATGGTTTGGCTCCATTGTTTGTACCTTTGCTATCTTCTCTGCCACTGTGTTGAACCAGATGTCTCATACTACTTTATACTAGTATGGAACCAGTACCCGTAGTTATCAAAGTAACACAACCAAGAGCAGAAATACAAACTAGGGATGGGCGGAATTGAAGTGCAATCTCACAACTCAAAGAAGGCTCTATCAATACAAGGGTAGAAGCTCCACCACAATCATGGGGAATGCTTGATTGATGAGAGATACGCTCAACGCGATTGGAGTCCACCACGACGAGAGCAAAATTCACAAGCCAAAAACTCAATGAACAAAAGGGGGTTTTTCAATAAATCAAAGTCTTCAATCTATGACATGAAACTCGTGTTTAAACCTTTATATAGGCTAGGGAAAGAACAAACTCACCCAAATCACATAAAAGGAAAGAAATCATAAACTAACTAGGTATCTGCAACTCGTCAACCCCGATCCCCAGGTTGGGTCTTCAAATCTTTGGGCAGGGAACGCACCTACTGCCCTGGGGAACCCTTCTTGCCTGAATCCCCGGGGTACTCCTCGAAATCCCCGGATGGGGAATCCCCACTTCTGGCCGGAGATTTTGACTCCCGTCCATCTTCTTGCTCCCACGTGGTACGTAGGGATAAAAAATTTACCCATACCATGAGTTTTTTGCTATATAACCGGTAACCCAATCGGGTTGGGTATGAAAGCCAAATAGAAGATATATGGGTAGAGTTTGATGAGTTTGTACCCGTACTCATTTATTTGGGTTGGGTTTTTAAAACATGAATTTTGCTTTATACCAATACCCATATGAAGATTACAGTTTGGTACATAAACTTAATAGATCTTTAGATTTAGTACCTAAATTTAATGTTTTTTGCATATGTCCTCAAAACATCAATGAAAAATTACATTTTAGTACCTAAAGTTTAGGGGTATTACATTGTGATACCTAAAGTTTTTAGGATTTGCAAATAGGTCAACTTTTCTGTGTAGTTAAAGCACTCTCAAATAAATGGTCATCCATCTCCAACCCATACTCATTTAGATTATGAAAGCAATATCCAATTCTTACCCAAATTCATCTAAAACCCTCCAAACCCATATATACTTCACCCATAATCAATGGATCTATTTTGATTTGGGTAAAATTACTCATGGGTGGGTAATTGTCATCCCTATTGACACGTCCTTCTTTTCGCTTCGAGCAGCGTGATTTGGGTCACCTGGAGGCTCGCATCAATGGATATCTTCTTGTAGAGTACAAAAATTATAATATTCATATCCAATAAGATTTCAAATCCAATGTAAAACGAATTATATATAGTCAGCACATTTGTAAATCCATACCGGTCGAATCAGATATGGTCAGCAGTCAGCAATCAATTATCTCAAAACTCTTATTTCTCTCATTTAGTTTTGGGCAGAAGATTTTTAGTTTACAAATGGAAAGGGTTTCGTATTGTTTTGTATAGTAACCTAAGCCTATAATAAAACCTAAACATTCCGCCGGGTACAAGCTAGTTCCTATAGTAATGGAATAGTAGTGGTAGTAAGATGGTTGACAATGAGACGGTAAATAATTGAATTAGCTCTCAACAGCTTAAAGGGGAAAGAACAGAAACAAGTTCATGAATTCAGCGGTTTCGGAACAAAACTTTTCTGTTCTCTATATTATGATTCAGTTCTGATGATCTGTCTAAGAGGCCGTCTTTTTTTTTGGTCAGGGTAAGTCATGTTAGTGCTCGTAGCGCAACAGAGGCGAAGAGTAAAGCGCGATTGGATCAGGAGAAACATCTCTCTTTCCCGCCTTGGAAAGGAACTCAGAAATGGAACTGAAAACCGCCCCCGCCACCTCCTCCTGGAAATCCACCATCAAACCCGCCAGGAAAGCCACCATCAAACTGGAAAGAGAAATGCTGGCCGCCACCACCACCACCGCCGCCAAATGGGTTAAAACCGCCACCACCACCTCCCATCCCCATGTCTTCAACGTCTTCTCCTCTGTCGAATCTAGCTCGCTTCTCATCGTCTCCTAATACCTGGATGTGATGAATGCGGAGATGTCGAGAGCAGTATGTCAACTTGCCAGTTCCATAGTCAATTAATGGCGTGGTAATGAGAGTGTTAGGCAAGTGTTAGTATGGGAATCACACACCTCGTAAGCAGCAGCAATTTCTCGGAACTTATTCTCTGCTTCTTCTCTGTTCTCGACGTTCTTATCAGGGTGCCACTGCAAAGCAAGTTTCTTGTAGGCGCGCTTGATTTCAGCTATGGAAGCGGTTTTAGATATGCCCAATATCTTATACCAGTCTTTGCGTTTGCTCATCTTGAGAGCTTTCTCAGCCCTCATCAGGGCTTCACGAATATTCATATCCTGCAAAACCAACCATACTCGAGCAAGTCAGGACTTACATAGCTACTTCCTGAGCTCAGAAGCAACGGTACAAGAGGCCACAATTAGCCATATGTTTAAGCAACTGGCAAAAGGAGCGTACGCAGAAGGCCTTAACAGGCCTAAACAAAATGAATCTGACTTTCCTACTAACCTGTGGTGATTGTTGAGCTGCTGATTTCAGATCCTCAACAGCTCCTTCCCAGTCCTCAGTTAGAAGTTTTGCTTCACCCCTCTGTAAAAATTGAATACAAGGAAAAGCTCTCTTCTAAGAATCCTAATATGCTGATCAGCCTCAGAAAAAAGAATTTTAAGACATGGCATACCTGAACTAAAGCTTCAAGAAGTTCCTCATCTATATTAAGTGCATCATTGCAGCTATTTAATGCATCGTTACCCCTGCCAAGCGTGACCAGGACCTTGCACAAACCCAGATGAAGATTGACATTGTGTGCAATATGATCGGGGTCCATTGCTAGAGCTGCTTTGTAGTCCTCAACAGCGACTCGAAGTTTACCCTTGTTCGCATTATCTTCAGCCTAGTGAAAAGAAAGAAGATGGAAACTGATCGGTAAATCAATCTTGCTGACAGAAAAGGACTGCTGTGAAAAAGAAAAAAAATGATTCATGAACTTACACTTTTAGTCTTTTTGAGCAATTTTTTTAACCCGAAATATGCTTTCTTCAGTTCACTGTGCTCAGGATCAAGACGAAGACCTTTCTGATAATGCCTAAAGACAGCATATGACCGGTTATGAAGAATGCAACTAGCGGTATCTCATCAAGAAAATTTGAGAAGGCAAGTTAACAAGCTGACGATATTGAAAATTTAATGTACTCACTTTGAGGCGACATCATGATCTGCTAGATAGTAGTAGGCACGACCACGGAGAAGGAGGGCCTCTAGATTGTTTTCATCCTCGCGCAGAATATATCCACTCTCAGAGATGGCAGCAGAGAAGTCTTTAACTCCCAACAACAACCTCACCTTAAGTATTTTAGCCTGCAAAAGAAATTGAAGCTCATTGTCATTGGACAGAATACTTGAGTGATGAAATCCTCTTGCCAGTCAGCATATAGCTCAGTATAATGCAATCATGGTGCTATACTCATCCTGCGAATAAAATAGTACCTTGGAGCAGGCAGGTGAAAAAACAAGCACAACTTTATCAACAAACTCCAAAGCTTTTGAATGATCTCCGGAACTAGAAAGAGTTAGGGCTGACTCAAAAGCACTTTTTGCTTGATTTAACTGAGAGAGCTCCTTTTCTGCAGCAGAATGCCCTGGTTTTAGCTCCAGAAACTTTTGATAGCTTATTTCTGATTCGTCATATCTACACAATGAAAATTATTTGTTAAGTTGGTCAATAAAAGAAAGTAACGGAGAAGCATAGAGGAGCCAAGATAGCTACTTTGAATAGACAACAGATCGGTCGAGCGAATCTACAAGGAATCATTGGGTAACAAAAGTTCGTTTGCAATGTTGAATTAACACAAACCTGCATATTTGACGAAGAATGGAGGCACGCCGAAAATATGCTTCTGAAAGCGTTGGATCTGCCTCAATGGCAGAATTTAGATCATCAAGTGCATCACTATAGAGTTTGACTTTTACACTTTGAGCAACCCTCTCGAACAACTCCGCAGCGCTATTGGTCTTACTATCTGGTGGCAATTAAGACAACAGTAAGCTACTCTCGACTGAAACTCCAACTTCACTGGAACACGTGAAAGCATGTAACTGTTCTAACTTTTACAAAGCCGAACTTCACCGAGTTCAAGCTTGAGGCTCGCGCTCTCGTGAACTACCAATTCATTCACGAATCGAATGCCAAAGAAGTTATAATTACAACCATTTATCGTCAGCTGAATCATATGAAACGAGAGCACCAAATGGTCAGACAGATTTTTCACTAGCAAGTCTCACTATCTAGAAGAGATGCAGGTACTTCAGTTCACTAAAAACCCCGCTGGCCTGCTTCCTTACTACCCCATGTTTCCCCATTGAAGCATTGGGTTCGGGTCAATTCTAATAAATATCGAAACTTTCGAGGATCCCACAACCCTAAGCAAATGTCAATTAGCGAACGTCGGATCTGAGCATCCGCCATTAACACCAAATTTGGATTCAGACAATAACAAAAGGCTGGATTCGAATCAGCAAATAAGGAGGGGGGAAATGAAACAAATTACCAGAAGCGGAGACGAGAGGCTGGAGAAGCAGAAGCTGGCAAACGAATACGAAATGCAGAATGAAGATTGTGTAGACCAGTCCTCTCCATGCCACTCCATCCCTTGCTCGCGCCAGAAATGAATTAGCCAGATTCATCACCATTCTTTCTTTTTGCTCCTTTCCCTCTCCTTCCGCTGCAGCTTTAAGCAATCTCGGGATTACGGATCCAATCTCATGGAAATGAACTCACTCGGCTCTGTTTCTTAGAAGTTCCGAAGAAGAAGAAGAAGAAGAGCAGAGGAGCACGAAGAAGCTCGACAATTTCGTGGGAATTTTTCAGTTCGGATTTTGTAGCGAAGAAGAAAACCGAAGTTCCACGAAGGCGTCAGGTAGACGAACTATCGACCTTTAGTTTGTTGTTCCACGTAGCCTCGACCAATCATTTATCTCCACGTTGGCAGTCCGCGGCCTAACTTAGGTGCACGTGGTTGAGTGTCTCAACAAATCACATGACGCCACGTGGATCAAAGAGTTTGCCTGGGTTTATTGCGGATGTCGTTTCACAAGCATATTTTTTGGAAGAATAAAAAAATCTAAATTATCTATTTAATATTAATACTTTGTAGGAAAGTGGGACGCTAAAAGGGAGCTCATGCTTGATACTTAAATTAAACGTGATTTGTCAATGTCCATAGTCATGGTGTCATACAAGTTCATGTCGTTCAAACCTAGATCGAAAACATTGAAATTATGATAATCTATATCGACATCATGACCTCTATTAGCTAGAAAATCGATCGCCTTGTTGCTTTTCCTGTAAGTATGAGAGATTTTCACCTCCCAGTTTTGATGAAGAAGGCTTTGAAATTGCCTTGTCAAACTGTAGTATCTCAATTGACTGTACTCATAAGAGATTATGATATGAATAGTAGTTAAATAATCTAATTGGAGATGGACTTTTTTGCGGCCTTGCATCCAAGCAACCTAAAGCCCACGCACTGCCCCTTTCAGTTCGTCTCGCGTTATGGTACAAGACCCCAAGCTCTCTACTAAAGCTCCTAAGTATTTTCCCGTCCAATCGCGAATCAAACCACCGGCTGCCTCACTCATCCATCTGCTAGCACACTCACCCAGTCTTGTGGAGGAGGCTTCCAGGCAAGTTCTTCTTCCACGTGTTGTCGGTCAGTGGCTTGTACAAGTTTGTCGCCTGTTTGAGCTCGGGTTATAGTTGTCGTCTGCATGAAATGAGTCCTTTGCTAAATCATCATTATTTTTTCTTGAGAGTTTTACCCCTCCGTATCTGACATTTTCACTACTCAAGGTCGTTTTCCCAAGAAATCCTTTACTACCAGCTTTAGGATGTATCAAGATCTATAATTGGAATTGAGGCCATATCTCTCTTCTGAGCCTACAAATGGGAAATTTGTGTTACCTCATTCCACCAAACCATCTCTTTTAGGGAAAGGGAGACTTCTTATTCAACCGGTCAACCCTAATGAGATATTTATGTTGCTCTAAAAAGATTACTCTGAACTCTTCTTTGTTTCTTTTGGCTTCTTCATAGATATTTCCATTTCCATACGTCAAAGTTTTCAAATTTGTTTATTTGGTAAGGTTTCTTGTCCAGACACCCTTTCCTACTCTTTTATCTCATATTTTGTGAGTTTTTTTTGGCCATGTCAAATTCTAGATCATCATAATGGGTGTGTCTTGGCGTCTCTTCTTTTTATCCTTGCATGTCACTCCAATCGACGAAAGCCTTTCTGGAGAGGAGGAAGAGAAGGTGTCGACCATAGGCGGAGGGAGAGCCAATGAGATGTGTTCCAGGACACAGGTAACTTTTGGGGTAAGAAAAATATCCACATATTTGCCTGCATCAATTACTGAACCCATGATTCCTCAATAGTATATGATTATTCTACCACTATACCACAAATCAATTTAGTGAATAAGGTAACATAAATTTAATTTATATACTATAATCAAAATTCCTAATTAAAACCCCTAATCAATTCGATCTCTCTCGTGCAATTCTTTTTTCTCTACCACTACACCACAAGTGTAGAATGTACATTTTCAGCTTTGAGCTATATAAAGAACAAATTTTGAAGTCGAATTGACGACGAGTTTGCCAATGACTGTTTAGTTGGATATATTGAAAAAGACTTGTTTAAGAGTGTATTCAACGAATGTATTTTGCGCTTCTTTCAGAATATGAAAACGAGTCGTGAACTCTTGGTTGTTAGTGAAACAATGATTGTAGTAGTGTGTTATTTCTTTCTTATCTATGAATGAACAATTCGCATATTATTAGTTTTAATTATATTTAATAATAATTACTTTATTATTTATATATTTATATTTTGAGTAGAGGACGCAAGTGCTTTTGAATCTTGACTCCGCCACTGGTGTCGACAAGGTTCGAGAGGACCTCTCCCCCAACACATGTTCTACCACTGAAGATGGAGAGATCCATGTTGTAAAATCAAAACAACAAGAGAGTGGCATTGGAGGTGTCGCTATTTCCTATAAGGTTAGAGAGCAGGATATTACAGTTTGGCGGAGACATCGTTCGGCTGGAGAAATGTTTTTTTTATTATCTAGTTTCTAGTATTACTTTGACATATTGGTCGGTCTATCAAAGAGATGGGCTCGAGAAGCAAGAGGAAGGGATGATGGTAAAGACGTGGCAAGAGATGTGGACCAATGGATAGGCCCAAAATTTTGCTTCCATCAGAGTATTTAGTTTTCTTCCCTTTACCACGACAACACACATACTCTGACTAGCTGGACAGCTCAACTTTCCCCCTCAACAGGGGTCTGGCAGTTCTTGGGATGGTCATAACCATAGGGAACTGACATGATTCATCGACAAGGATACATATGTGGTCATTCTACAAGGTAGTTTGTGTCTCTTTGTTGTCCTATAAGGTGGACCTTTTTTAGATTGTTGGAAGCTTCTATGTGGTTTCTAAACCCCTAACCATTGGACACAAATGCTCGGTTTTGCATACTAGTAAGATCTTGTAAGGGAGGCCCCTTACTCTAACCTCTTTAGGTGCATCTATATGGCTCACATAGTTGGGGATCCTATAAAGTATGGTTGAGGAGATTCAGAGGGTTTTCTAGCGATGTGATTGGTCGTGATGCTACTAACCCCGTGCGGGTGTTGTCAATAGTTTGCACGACTTATCTAACTACCCCATTAAGAGCTAAGTATAACTCAGAATGACATTGCTTGTGTAGTGTCTACTAAGGTTGTATTCCACGGGTTTGATACCCTAGGTTACTTCTCACTTTGTTGTTATCTTGTCAACTGATTTAGGTTTTGGGTTGGAGGTTGATCGGAAGATACTGGCGGAAAAGGAAAAAATAATAGCAAAGTACTTCGGGGTGCCACCCTCGCCCTAAACTAGGTTCATCATGTAAATGGATAACTGTGTTGAGTCTATATGATAGGATGCGAAACTCTCTAATATGGGAATTTCAGTGATTACTCTCCATCCTCCTAACACGGCCACAAAGACTCAATGTTACCTTAGTCTGAGTTTACATGCTAGGATTTCTCCCATAGTTCCTCTCAATAGGTTTAACCTATCATGGATACTAGAAATGTGCTTGGATCATAACGTGTATGACTTCTTTAGCGTTGTTTTAGGAAGGCATTCCTATAGGAGGGTTTCAGTCGCCACGTCCAATAAGAAACCCTAAGATCATTCATCTATCATTAATCTGCCAGTTGGCGCTACCCAGTTTAACCCTAAAATTCCCACCTAATGTTAAGTCAGTTGTAGGCTAGTAGGGAAGAGTTGTGCGACTTAACCAAGCAAAATTAAGCATAAATGAACATAAATTCACCAAAACAAACATATCTATTCATAAACCCTAACACAATTACATATACATTCAAAACCTAAATCTAGTGTTTGGGGGGTTTATCCCCTAGTACCTTTGAGAACTACCCCATAAAAAGAAGGGGGGGGGGGGGGAAGAAGATACATGGAAGAAAATAGAAGAAGTCTTGATGTGAGAGAGCTCTCTTCCTTCTCCTCTTCTCCTTCCTTCAGCTTCTCTCCCTAACTTTCTCTCTCTTAAAATCAGAAATCTTCAATCAATTTCAGCTTTCAATGTAGGTGGGACCCCCTATTTATAGACTTTCAAGATTCCGGCAAGTTCACGGTCATGTTGGGAGACTTCGCGGGTGTGATATGGGAGGGGAAGGCCGCGATCTTGAGCTTGCCGCTTTGCGCTTTGAAAGTTGGGAAGTTCACGGTCTGAGTTCACAAAGGAGCATTGTCATCTGATAGGACGAGAGAGTATGAGACATAGGAAATAAAAAAAGCAGAGGAGAGAACCATAAGAAGGAAATGAGAGTTGTTTGACCGATTGACCGCCTTAATTTCTTTTCATGTTTATTTTGTTATTTTACTTATTTACTCACAGTGAAATTATTGTTATAGTAACTAATTCGAGGTTCATTACACATATTTTGCCTTTCACATTTTGATCGTTTAACTTGATTTGGGATGTTCTCTTAGCCTATTCTATGCTATGTTGCGTTTTTTTTTTTTTTTTTGTATATTCCAGGTTCTAACAGCTAAATATAGCTAATGGAGTGATGTTAGACCAATTGGGAAGAAACGGAACAAAAGTGCACAAGGAAAGGGGCCATTCATAACAAGGTGCTCCATTTCACGACTTGGTCGTGAGAGTAGCTGAAGCGGTTGTGAGAAGCAGCAAAATCCCAGGGATATCATATCATTGCACGACCAGTCTCATGATTTAGTCGTGAGACGTGTTGAAGAGGTTGTGAGTTCAACAAATGCACAACGTTTTGTGTTTGTGTCACGGCCAGCCAACACGGGTCACGACCCAGTAGTGACTCGGGCAACACAATCTTGACTCGAGCAAATGAAACAACATCTTTGGTTAGAGTCACGACCTTGTTTTAGAGTGGATCGAATTAGGGGTGTCATAACGTCGATACAACTTAGATTAGGGGGAAACACGTCGGTCCGGGTGTATCTTCCCTCAATAGAAACCAATCTCATTTCCTTTTTTTACTTGCTTAGTTGTTAGTAATTGAAACACCAATCGGTTTACTAGATAATGTTTTGTTCGTTGAAATAAGGATAGATAAATCATTCGGGTTGATTTTGAAATACTTACTATGTACTACATGCCTACATTCGATTAGAGGTTCCACTTGACATCCGTCCATCATGACCCATTTCATTCTCAACCATTGATTATTGTTGACCTCATGTCCCTGCCCTCTATTTAGTCAAACATGAAACCACAATCCACACACAAGCGGAAACGAAAACCAAAAGAAAGAAACATAAAAACAAGATAAATATATGAAAGAAAACTACCCAAATGCTAAACGGCAGCGTCGACCGTGATCCAGTCCCGGCAGATCCTTTGATCTCCATTGAAGACTCGCGACAAGAGGAGGAGGAGAGCAAAGCAAAGCAAAGCAAAGACAGAAGGAAGAACAAATAAGCGAAGATAGAAAGCAAAAAAGGAACGCACAAAATAGACTCAGAGAGAGAAAGCGAAGAGCAAGCTGCGGTTCGGCGCTTAAAATCTGGAGAGGAATCACAGTGGCATGTTAGAGAGCTTTGCAGTCTAGATAATCGAATCAGATTAAGCGGAGAGGAGAGGGGCAGCAGCTCCGTTGGGGAAGTTTTGTCATGATCAGATGCTCTCTGGTGTTTAGTAACGAGCAGCGGCAAAATGATCAATAGCAATAACGGTATGATTTCGACGTCATCGTCGACGGCTAACGCCCAATCGCCGGGTTTGAAGACCTATTTCAAAACCCCAGAAGGGAGGTACAAGCTCCACTACGAAAAAACACACCCTTCTGGTCTCCTTCACTATGCCCATGGCAAAACTGTCACTCAGGTGCTTCTTGCTATTCGCTATTCCCCCTTCTCCTCATTCTTAATTTACTCTCCTTTCGTCAAATTCAACGCCCTCTGTAAGCTGTATTCTCAAATTCAGTTCGGTTTGGGGCCAGTATTCATCTTCTAGTAGGAAAAGCTGCTATCTTTTTTTCTTCTATTTCTAGTTCTTTAGGAGCTTCCACGATTACTGGCTTTGATTTATGGGTCTGTCGTGGATTCATTAGGATCAGTGTTTAGTCTTAGCAGTCTGGGATTTTTGGTTCTTCTGTTTCTGTTGCCTTTTTTTTTTGTTCATTGTGGCGCATGCGCTGCTGATGCATTAGTTTCTAGGGTTTTTGTTTCTAGGGCTTTCTGATCGCCCCCTGGTAAAAAGTCAATGACAGAATCATTCTTCAATCGCTTCGCATTGTCTGATGTTTAATGAAAAAGCCTCTTTCCCGGTTTCAAAAGCTCAATTGGATTTGTTCTGATGGCCAGGTAACTCTAGCTAATCTGAAAGACAAGCCAACCCCACAGACCCCGACATCTTCGTCTTCAACGTTTAGTGCTAGCAGTGGGGTGAGATCAGCTGCAGCAAGATTGTTGGGTGCTGGCAATGGGAGTCGAGCACTTAGCTTTGTTGGAGGCAATGGTGGTAGTAAAAATGTTAGTGGCACCGGTAGGATTGGTTCTTTAGGGGCTTCGTGCTCAAGTAGTGCTATGATAAATCCAAACTTTGATGGAAAAGGGACTTACTTGATATTTAATGTTGGGGATGCTATTTTTGTTAGTGACCTCAACTCTCAAGATAAGGTGAGTTTGTGTTAGAGTTATAAATCGTATTTGCATTTATCAGCTAACATTGGTGCCATCTTCAGAGATTCAATGTCATTGTTGTTTAATGTAGGATCCAATCAAATCCATCCATTTTAGTAATTCGAACCCTGTTTGCCATGCCTTTGATCCGGATGCTAGGGATGGACATGATTTGGTTATTGGTTTGAGTTCCGGTGATGGTAAGTTGTTTACTTCATTTTCAGCTGCATTTATCTCCTTCTCGAATGTACATGTTGTCTGAATGCTAAACATTTGTATTATTGTAGTCTACTCAGTATCTCTCAGACAACAATTACAGGATATTGGGAAGAAACTTGTAGGGGCACAACATCATAACAAAGATGGTTCTGTCACTAACAGGCAAGATTATCATTTTGCTTTCTAATATTTCTTATTTGCTTATGGCAATTCCATTAGATTGTTAATTAACTCAATCAGGATGCAAAGGATGCAGAGAACTGTTAAATTGGTGAAATACTATGTAACTAATTTTGACAGAAGAGACAGTGTGCCTGCAGCACTTGTGCAAATCTTTCTCTTTGATGCCTGGTTGTAACCAGAGGAATTTGGACAGTTTTTATGCTGAGAGTGTGATAGGGTCCGTTTTTTTATACCAGTAGTTAAATGAATATATTGATCAGTGAATGTGATTTGTACCATATACTGCCTAACTCTTTGAGGACTTTTAAACAAGAATCTTAAAAAATTATTTCTGTCCACCTGCTCTCTTCAGTGATGTGGAAGTTTAATCATGCAAAGTATTATCTGATGGAATTATTCTTGCTTTTCTGATTGTTACCTGTTTCTTCAAAATTTTCACAGCCTATTTTATCATTTTGTGTGTAATCTCTCGGTTAATGTGGTTTTCTGAATACGTTGATGCTGCTATATGTCAAATTATAATTATGTTTATTATGTAACAGAAGGTGCACATGTATGGTAATTCATTAGCCTAACTTCTTTTTTGACAGTCGTTGTACTAGTATTGCATGGGTGCCTGGAGGTGATGGTGCTTTCGTTGTTGCTCATGCTGATGGGAATCTTTATGTGTATGAAAAGGCAAGCATCAATTGTTAGAAGAGAAGGACATCTCCATTGATGTCTTATTTTAGCTTGCTGTTTCCAGTGTTCACTGTCCTAATTCCTAAACTTTTTCTAGAACAAGGATGGTGCTGGAGATACTTCTTTCCCCTTGATCAAGGATCAGGCCCTGTTTTCTGTTTCACATGCACGGTACAGCAAGGTATACTAGAATATTATTCTGGAGCTGGTTCTAGCAATATGAAACTAGAGTTCGCCACGAAATCCCCAACCACTGTTTGTTATCTATTGTTGCTGTTACTATGTTATGATGATGCCTGATCAAGTAGTAACCGAAAACTAAAATGTTTGGGGGGATTTCTTGTGCTGATACATAATTTTTTAGGCAGAGTTTATACCCTGGGGTCTTGTGTTTGCGTTAGTAGCACACATGAACTTAACTGAACGGATAAGTTTTCTGATTTGGTTTACCTTCTTTGTTTATTTTGTGAACTGTATGCAGAGTAACCCTATTGCCCGATGGCACATATGCCAAGGTTCAATAAATAGTATCACTTTCTCAGCAGACGGAACCCACTTAGCAACTGTTGGAAGAGATGGTATCATTTCATTTGAATTTTATTTTATTGGCTTCATTTTGCAGTAACTGTATGTAAACTGAGATTAGACATCTTCAAATGCAGGATACCTTAGAGTTTTTGATTATACAAAAGAACAACTTATTTGTGGTGGGAAGAGTTACTATGGAGCTCTACTATCTTGTGCTTGGAGGTGAAATTTTGCTGCTTTTCTGACTCATTAACCATTTTTTGGGGCACAAGAGTTATTTAATTTCACATATGTTCCTTTGAGACGAGAACTATCATCGGTTTTCCCTCTTTATTAGTTGTACATAATCTTTGTGGAGTTCTTAGGACATTGGTAACTTTTCTTTCCTTTATCCAGTGAGTGCTTCTAATAACTTGGGTATTGACAATTTTTCTTTCATCAGTATGGACGGGAAGTACATTTTGGCTGGTGGTGAAGATGATCTAGTTCAAGTTTGGAGTATGGAAGATCGGAAGGTTGTCGCATGGGGCGAGGGACATAACTCATGGGTAAGTAGGATTCTTGTGAATTCTGGGAGATTTCTGTGTGTTTTAGTACAGAATCCTGACACTCTTTGCTTGGTTTCCATGTTGTATATTTGGGGGCAGGTGAGTGGGGTGGCATTTGATTCATATTGGTCATCACCTAATGCAGATGGTACGCCTGAGACGGTAATGTACCGGTTTGGTTCTGTTGGTCAGGTACGTTTTGTGTACATAGAGAGAAACCTTTGTCATTTTCTTTATTGCAAGCTGTTTTGAATTTACTATTTGTATTAGACTATGAGTAGTGAATATTTGCAAATATTAACTTAGTAACCTTCCTCATCATGTTAGTGTTTTAACAGTAACTTTGAGAGTTCATAGATTATTTTACCTGTTTGTACTTTTCTTCACCTTTCTTCACCTTCCTCAACCTAGTCTTTCCTAAACACTACAATTCCATGGTCTCTGTGCGGCGCAGGATACACAGTTGTTGTTGTGGGACTTGGAAATGGATGAAATTGTGGTGCCATTACGAAGATGCCCTCCTGGTGGCTCCCCAACATTTAGCGCCGGCAGTCAATCATCACACTGGGACAATGTTGTCCCAGTTGGCACTCTGCAACCTGCTCCATGCATGCGAGATGTTCCAAAACTATCTCCTCTTGTTGCTCACCGTGTTCATACCGAGCCACTTTCTGGGTTAATCTTCACTCAAGAATCCGTTGTTACAGCAAGTCGAGAAGGCCACATTAAAGTATGGATGAGACCAGGAGTTGGTGAGAGTCAGTCAGCAGCGACAAACTCCGAGGCTAATCTGACGGGCAATTTGAAAGAGAAGCCCTTGTTGTCGAGCAAGAGCTCCACTGCTGGTTTCAGGCAATGACATTTTACAAGACAGTCAACACCTGCAATCCGAGACCATGTAGTGTTATTATTTTTGGGTGGATGTGAGTTTCACTCTTTATACTGGTGCAGTTCTGCCTCCGTCTTCTTGAGCTGGTTGTTTCCTCAAAAGTTGGCGCCAGTGAGATTTGATCAGTTTGTTCTACATTTGAGGCATGAAAATATTATTGATTTCCACTTAACGGAGCTTGGGAAGGAGAGAAAACCCAGCCTTTGTAAGTACGGACCGCTGCCGTTCCTAGGAAGGAAGATATGTATACGCAATTTAGTTACCGACAGGAAATAATTGGAAATTTTTTGTGCCTTGCAGAGATCAGGGTCCATTTTCACTTCCCTTGAATTTTGGAGATGGTGAAAATATTTTGGATCATTTGGAAGATGGAAAATTTGGATGGGCTGAATCGTAGTCGGATTTGCAACTGTTTATGTATGGAATGCATGAGGGCGGGGAAATGGTCTTGTTTGACCAGACTAGATATGGTCTGCGTACATAACAAAAATCATAAATCAGATCATATACTATACGATTCATATTAGATTACGATTGTGTGTATGATATGGTTTGGATCAGATTGACTTTTACAAAAAATTAGCTAGTAGCAAGGTTAACATGGGTGCATTTATGAATATCCAACTAGGCTAAATATAACAAATGTATTAACACAGAGACTATGAAACAACAGTAATGAACTATGCTTGCTATTATTTAACCGATGTATTATCAATTCTTATAATTATCTAAACTAATTAGCGAAAGCAATGAACTTCAACACATGCAATTTGCATACACTAGGGCAAGATCAAGAGAGAAAGCATTGTTCATACTTCAAATCCCCCTAGCTAATTCATACCTCTTCAGTTGAATATATATGGACTGGGTCTGGGTGTTATCTTCTACAAGTTTGGATACATTAAGGGTCGTTTGGATGAGTGTTTTCAGTGAGGGGTTTACCACGAACCCTCATTGACATGAATTTTGACCAAATAACTCGTTCGAAAATGAGACATATCAAATTAGTGATTTTAAAAACCTGCAATTGAGGATATTTGAAATAGCTGATCACCAGTAGCTATTTCAAAACCACTCATTGACTGTTTTTTCTTCCAATTTTGTCTCGCATAATTATATACAAATCCAAAAATAACCTAATCGATAGAAATTTCAGCCCTAATCCCTTCCTCCCGTGCGCCTCCCTCCCGACTGCTTCATCCCCTTCTTCCACTCCTCCGACGAAAGCAGAAGGGATCACTTGGCTAGCGGTGATGATTTTTCCCATATTTTCCTATTTTTGTGTGGTAATTTCATTAGGAAATAACGCAGAAGGGATCACTTGAGCAGTTTTTGGTTTTCAATTGGATGAAGAATCAATATATTTGTTGTGCTTCTACTGAAATCCATATTAGGAATATCAAGTTGTTTGCTCGCAACGGTCAGATTGATCAAGCTCGTGGTTTTTCCCCCCAATTACAAATATGAAAGTTTGGTTTGGATTAACAGGTAGTGGGTCATAATCTGCACGGTGAATCCGAGTTTATCGTGATCCACGCCACTTCAAACCATATTAGGACTTGAAATCACCAATTAGAACAGTTTAATCTGGATTCCTCATCTTTAATAAAATTCTTCATCCAAACGACCCTTAAACGAATTGATTGTAAAACAAATAAAACCAAATCGTAGATAATAAAGGCAAACACAGCCTCTCTCTCGAAATCAACGAAGAATGCCCCAATCCGCCAGCGGCCATATCAGGCCCGTATCCATAACAATAATAATAATGCATTATCGTCATCGTTACATTGTTGCGTGCCGGACCCCGACAGCCCATGAGCTTCCCTTGTCAGGCTCTTAATGCCGCATCCTCCAATCACCTCGCGACACGTCTCCGCGTAGCACAACTCCGGCGCATCGCTTCTCCGCCACGTAGCCCCGTGATTCACTGTACCGAGTTCGCCCATTCCCTGGGTTATTTTACCCTTTTGTCCTTCACTGGCTTCCAGGAAAGGACGCTCTCCTTGACCTTTTAGACTTCAGTCCCTAGATCCAGCGCTCTCAATTCATTAATTCCGAGCCCTTTCTCCTTCTCCTTCACTTTCGCTCCGTTTCCTGATTTTCCCATCTCAGTCCCGGTTGTTTACTGGTTTGAGTTATCTTTGTGACGATTCAATCAATTTTCCCTGTTGCCGGCGGTGGTTTAAGATAAACCATGTAAGGGGAAGGGGATGCGGAGTAGGGATCGGGGGAAGATGGGAGGGGCGTGGTTGGCGCCGTCGGGAAGAACAAAGGTTCCAAGGAGGGTGTGGTTAATCGTTCAAAAATCAATGGGTCTCCTCGTGGGTGGAAATCACACCTCCTCCAGGTTTTGCACTCGCTAAATCCTGCGCCTTCTTTTCCACTTTCTGAGTTGAATTTGTCTCCCTTCTGCTCTCTTTTGTGTTGAACATCAATCACTCAATCAATCTTTAAGCAAAGCTTTGAACTTTTGGTGACCCAAATCGCCGTTTGTTGACCAAGAAAAGAAAAGGTAGCGATGAACTTGAAGGGTCTGAGATCCCAGGCCGTTACAGAGTCTGTGGCTGAGCGCCTCTTTATGCGCTGTTTCGCGCTGGCATTGGTCCTTTCGGCAATACCCATTCTGCAGTACTGGTCTGGATCCGGTTCTATCTTCTTGGAACCCATTTGGGGTTCGCTTGACTGCGAGGAAAGCGTCAATTTGACCGCCACGGTCGTCAGGGAGCTTACGAGCAAGCAACTGTTGGATCGTAATGCAAGAGCTCTCTGTGTCGGGGAAGGATCGGCCGCTGCCGTGTATACATTGCACGAATTGGGATTCACCAACACTTCTGGTGGTGCAGATAGGCACCCATTCTTCTTGCCTCGGCAGAAGAAGTTCATGTATGAGCTTGAATTTGGTGATAATTCCTTCGACTTCGTGTTCTCAGGGGATCTGGACAAGGTTCCTGTACCTGCTAGCCTTGTCCTCGAGATTGAGCGGGTTCTTAAACCCGGAGGAGTTGCTGCTGCTCTTATCGGTGGCTCATCGAATGGTTTGGTCCATTACAACTTGGTCCGATCGGCAATGCCCATTTCCTCACTGCTGAAAACCTCCAGCGTTGCTCATGTCGGTTACCTCAGTGGCGGCTATACCCTGGTTGTCTTCAAGAAGAGATTCTATCCCGCCGATTACTTCGAGCATGTCAGCCTGCCGTCAGAATGTCATTCCGTTGTCAACAACGGCCAGTTCATGGAGTTGCTCGAATCGGTTTCGGAGACCAAACCAGTTGGATTCGAGGAAAAGATTGTGTATTTGCCGAAGCTCGTGGATGTCTCGGCAAGGACTCGTATGGTGTATGTCGATATTGGAGTCGGGGAGCATCTGAAATTGAACTCTAATGTTGCAACTTGGTACTTGCCGGCTTATCCAGTTGATCACAAGTCGTTCAATGTCTATCTTGTCGATCACAACACCTCGGTTCTGCATTCGTTTGTGAAGAGGCCCGGTGTTACTTTCGTTTACCATCCAGGCCTAGCTGGAGACAAGGTGGAGGACCAAGTCCTCGGCATTGAGGACTTGGATCCATTCATCGAGGATCAAGGCTTTGATTTCGTTGCGTGGTTCGAGGAAACTGTTAAGTACGCTGATTTCGTGGTGATGAGGTTGAATGCAGGTGGTGAGGTCGAGCTGAAGTTCCTCGTTGAGCTGTTCAGGAGTGGAGCGATATGTGCTGTTGACGAGCTGTTCTTGAACTGTTCTGGAAAAGGTTTGGGGAATGGGGAATGTGGGAGCCTCGTCAGGAGTCTTCGAGCAAGTGGAGTGTTCGTCCATCAATGGTGGTGAGAGCCTATATCTGCCATGGCTGATTGATTGATGGACGATGAAGATTGTAAGCCTTTTGTCATTGTTGTGTTGTGTACCGTACCAAAAAGGATGCTATTAAGTCGTCCATGTTGTTGTTGTCGCCTTTTATGGTTGAGGCAGTTCTAAATAAGCAACCATTCTGTGTGTCTTTCCACCGAGTGGAAAGTGTTTGTTGTGTTTGGATTACACCATTCCGGAGTAGTTGAACGCTCATGTGTGTTTTCGTTCGGTGTATAATAAATTGTGGCTTAATTGCAAGTTTGGTCACTCGAATTGCTTAAAAATTTCACATTTGCCACCCGAATTGATTTATTCCATTTATAGTCACTCGAATTAGTTGAACAGTCCAAGTATGGTCACTCTCCGTTAACCTCCGTTAATGACGACCGTTAAGTGATGACGTGGCTAACAGAAAGACACAGTTAGCACATTTAAACATTAAAAAAAGACAACCCGACCCGCCAGCTCACCCTTACCCGCCCAGTCAGCCATTCTTGCCCAAACCCGCGAACCAGACCTAATTAACTGACCCTAAACCCAAACCAGTGACCCAACCTCCCCTGAAAACTAAACGCAGATGGATTAGGGCATTTCCCTTCTCCATCTTCATCCTCTCATCCTCCCTCCCGCGCCGCCTCTCTACTTTGCAAATCGTCGTCGAAAATCGTCGTCGAAGGGATGGAGGCCGCCGCCGCCGCGCCGCCGCCCTAAATCCCTCACCCCTCCCGCGAAGTTCTTCATCCGCCGCGAAACCCTAAATCGAAGCGAGCTGCTGTTTTCCCCCTTCAACGAGACTAGTTTGCTTTTTCGGAAAAACAAGCAAGGAAAGGAATGGATTGGAAATCCGTTATTTTACTCACTCCCAATGAATTCTACTTTGGGCATATTTTTTTATGTTTGAGTTTGATAGGTGGAATAATAAGAGGAGGAACGGAACGAATCTGCGCGCGCCTTTTTTCTCAACTCAACTACTCCTCGCCTTTTCGCGTAATCCCCAAATTTTTTTTTTCTGCTTGGCGAGTTTATCGGATCTGGAAAACAATTCCGTTAATCCAATTATTCTTCTCTCTCTTTTCCCCTTCCAGTTTCCATCTCTTTTCTCCGCCATTCCCCCCCCAAAAAAGAAAGCCTCGCCATTGTTGGAGGTGGAGGTGGAGGTGGAGGGGTGGGAGGAGGAAGGGGAGGAGTCGCCGTCGGTGACCATGGACAACATAGCGTCGCAGCTGAAGCGGGGGATATGTTTTCAGGGGGGTTGGGTCACTGGTTTGGGTTTAGGGTCAGTTAATTGGGTCTGGTTCGCGGGTTTGGGCAAGAATGGCTGACTGGGCGGGTAAGGGTGAGCTGGCGGGTCGGGTTGTCTTTTTTTAATGTTTAAATGTGCTGACTGTGTCTTTCTGTTAGCCACGTCATCACTTAACGGTCGTCATTAACGGATGTTAACGGAGGTTAACGGAGAGTGACCATACTTGGACTGTTCAACTAATTCGAGTGACTATAAATGGAATAAATCAATTCGGGTGGCAAACGTGAAATTTTTAAGCAATTCGAGTGACCAAACTTGCAATTAAGCCAATAAATTGTTGTCGACATTAGTGTCAAATGTCATGAGACTATTTTATGATGTATTTGCAAAATTATTATTTAAAGGATTTGTGAGTTGTGAGTCTTGTGACATGTAAGATAGGTATGGTAATGGGTGGGGTGTAGGGATGGCAACAAAACCCACGGGTACCCACCCGACTCAATCCTGTCAACGCGGTAAAACTCATGTTGACGGGTTTTGGGCTGGGTTCGGGTTTAAATCCGCTACACAATTCGCCGGGTCGGGTTGGGTTTGAGTTTAGGTAAACCCGCCAATACACATATAATTACTTTCCCGATATATTTAATATTCTAAAAAAAATATTTTCCTTAAACAACTAATATTCTTTATGTTTGTTCTTTCTAATTGTTTAGAATGAAATTGATATGATGAAGTGGAGAGTGAAGAAACTTAGTTGACGAGAAAGAAGCTTTTAATTAATCTTATTGTTTATAGATGTTTATCTTTAATTTTGAACAATTTGTATTGATCATTTGCGGTTTGCTTGTATGCTCTAGATTGGTGTTTTTTGTATGATTAATTTGTATGAGAAAATTGATGTTAAACTTTTATTTTGAAAGAAACTTGTTATTGTAAAATTTTTACCACAAAAACCCACGGGTACCCATGAACTCGCGGATACCCAGCGGGTTGGGTTGGGTTTGAGTTTTTCAAACCCAACGGGTATTACCCCGGGTTTTTTTTGTGGATAAACCCATGGGTTTGAGTTTGGGTTTGACAAAATCCGCCCCAACCCGCCCCATGCCATCCCTAGTGGGGTGGGGTGGGGTGGGTTTGGGCAGCTTTACTTGAACCATTCTTATTTTCTGAATATCGAAACTCATATTTGTCTAATGCTCATGTTTGGGAAGGTTTTGCATGCCCAAATTCATACTCGAGTACCCATAAGTAATACCAGTCCGTGCATCCAATATGATTATATCTAAAATTCAATACGAAAATCTTTAATTATAACACTAAACAAGTTGATAAATCATGAAATCAGCAAAGACACAATAATTTTTATATGAATTTAACGCATTCATTTCTAAAACATTCGTAATTCATAAGAAAAACTAAAATATTATTTAAATAGTTTATTTACGATTCGACACATTTATCAAGCAATAAATAATTAGCCCAATCTTGTTGAAAGGGATAAAGAAGAAAAGGTGTGAAGGGAGGATTGGAGGTATGGAGGGTCTGACGATCTCGTAATTGAGTTGTTTTTTAGGGTAAACAATTTGGGATCTTTGCCTTGATGTGTCAATTTAATCAGCAGTATGAAGAGTGCGTAAGTTTGCCGATGGACTCGTACTTCAATCTTTCATCTTTTTGATACATCAATTGAGTCCTGGGGGGGACTAATTTGGCTGTTTGTATGTGGGATAGGGCTACAAGGAGTGAGTCTCATTTGGCAGGCGGGATGGTTATTATGAACCAAGCTAGGGAAATCCTTTTGGCTAATGGGGTTCAGTTTCCGTTGAATGATAAGCCTTAAAGCCTATGGTGGTCGAGTTGCTCGTGCTCCGGGAGGGTACTTTATAGTGTCTGGTTCACGGCTTCACAGAGATGAGGTTTGAAGGAGATGTCAAAGTGATCGTCAAGAAGGTCAATTGGGTGGATACCATTTTAATTTATTTTTTTTATGAATTACTTTTTTTATCATTTTTTTTTTTTTTTACAAAACTCTTTTTTATCATTGAGTACTCACAGTTGCGAAGTTTGATTGCTATCCCTATGAGATCGGTTTTAAGAATATATTCTCAAGTACTTCTTACCTGAATAATCTAAATACTAAAAATTGAGATCATATAATGCATACCATTGCACATTAATCCGATATCTATTATTGAGAATGAGATGAAGCATAGTTTGGTTCAGTAATCTACAGTTACACACTGATCTCCTATTAAAATGCCATGAACTATATGCCATTCATTTTAATTTGAATTTCAACTTTTTCACGAAAAAATCATATTATTATTCTAAAAATTTATATTCATTTTAATATATTTTAAAACAAAATAATTAAATATCAATGAAAACATTTTTATACCATCATGGTGGCTAAAATTGAAGGTACATGATGGCATGAATATTAAGAATGTTGGTTGACTCACTTAAATCGACACAACTAAACATCGACAAAGTATAACTGTAATCTAGCAATGCAGTATAGAATTCAGGTTCTAAATATCAACCCTGGTCTTAGGTTTACTGGTTACTCTGTGCAATTCTATTATCTAACGATGGAAGTCGGATAAAGTTAATTGGAAGTCGGGTAAAGTTACTTGAAATTTCATATAAATTGCATACTCATTGTATCGACCTACCCCGACTAGCGACCCGTAATAAATTACCCACCCTGTACCCGACCTACCCGTAATAAATTACCCACTCTATACCCGACCTACCACGGGGCGGGTCTTTGTATAAAAAAACCCGCCCCACCTGCACATTACCATTCCTAGGTCCTACACCCGCATATAAGGTAAACCAGACTCTGCGTAAGGGTGTGTTTCCTGGCCAAAGTGCCAAACAAACTTGTAAGTTGTAACTAAGCTACACCCAACTGCTATGTAGAAGCCATTACTGGCTTAACATATTTCAGATCCAAATGCCAATTGCTTAATACTTGGTCTCTCAATCAATCTTCTCTTATTAGAATGCCAGCAAACCAAAACACACCCGAAACACAGAAAATTATGCCCTTGACCTGGAGAAGCGAAAACAATACCGTAATACTATACAACAAACAGATAAAAACACTTCAGCAGCTACTGCTGCTTCCTTGCTTTGGGCAGGCACCTATTCATCTGTGCCATTATTAACCTTAATCTCTAAAAGCCGCTCGACTGGTTGTCTACAGATCGGGCAACGATTCGTTTGGAACCTCAACACCTTCGCACAACCGCTGCACATGCACTGCATCCACACACACGATTATCAACGTCAAGCATGGCCTCATTTAAACAAGCATAACAATGCATTTTGTGACAATTGATGACTGGATTATCTAAGTTTTGCTAGGATATACAGAGATCACCAGAAAACAATTAACCAAACAGTTGATTCAGCAAAATAAAATTAAGAATGCTGTGTCAAGGGAAGGAATTCAACTTACCATGTGTCGGCAAGGAAGAACAGTAGTATCACGTGGTTCCGAGAGGCAAATGACACATTCTTTACCAGGGTCATTTGCATCGGCATCACCATCAACTGTGTTTCCAATCCCGTATATCTCCTGCAGCTCATAACGCATCCCGTTCACCCACAGAATCTGCTTCACTACCCTGACTTGGTACTCGCCTTTCTCCTTCTCAAACACCGCCTGAGTTATCTGAGAATTAGAGATCCCAGGCGTTTGATTCCCATCTGGCCCACTCTGGCTGGCGGGCATTGCCTCTGCCTTCACCACAAGCGGATAAATGTCCATTTCACCTTCCACCTTGCGCAGCTCCCGTTCCTCAAACTTTGAGAAGTCGATCCCTGTTCCAGATGGCTGCCGGAACTTTTGCCCCAGACCATGCTGGAAACTAACTGTCACCGATGGGAAAAGATCTTCCTTTGTTGGTGTCAGGACACAGTTATCACCTTCCTTTGCAAAGAATATAATGGTGATGCTGCTTGCACAAGCAACACAAACGTGAGTGACCAAGTAACCAGAAATATGATCCATAAATATTCAGGTTGTTGCCTCTGATGCAAAGAACAGAGGACTTGAAATCCAAATATCCAACACACGAATATCTTATTCTACAAAAAGAACTCATAGCAAACATTCGCCAACAATTCTGCAGCAAATCAAAAATCCATTGTACCAACAACAACAATTGTGCCAGTAGCAGTACCCTAAATTACAAAGAGTTCAGCTTGGTTTCACCCTATATAAACAATTCAGGCATCAACCATAATCTAATTGTGTGTTTCAGATACAAGGAGAAAAAAACATCAACATTAATAGCTTCCAGTCATCACCATTCCTGTTCATCTACTATTATCAGTCATCAATTACCGATATATTTATCCATAGAACACACGACGAGGATAATTTCAACTCTAAAAATAATCATATTCAGAAGGAATCCCCACATAAACTTCAGCTTAATATGTAGGGCGCCTCTGTCCCATTCATTCAATGGCGCATCATACAAGTTCGTACCAGTGAGAAGATCTCCCAAGTCAACAATATCCCCAGAAAAGCAAACAAATCTAGGCAGACCAATTAAACACGCAAGAAATCCATTCACCCATCTTTACCTTCCAGCAACAGTAGCATCGAAAGTGAAGGTAACCAGAGACATCCCTGGATTCTCCTCATCGGGCTCCAGCTTCAGCGTTTCCTTCTTCAAATTGACGTCGTTTCGAATCGTGACCGCCTTCTGGTGCTCGACATAAGGCGCCGGGGGCTGCACCATGGGCCCGCAGGGGTACCTCCCGCCGACCCAGTGGGCGTGGTCGGGGCGGTGGTGGTGATCGTACGGCGCCGGCAGCGGGAGGGGCATGGCAGGAGGTGGCGGCGGGTAGTAGCCCGGGTACTGGTGGTAGTACGAGGGAGGAGGAGGAGGAGGGTGAGGGTGAGGAGGTGGAGGCGGTGGAGCGTTCGGATTCGGCGAGGGTGGGTAAGGCGTGGCGGCGGCGAATACGTATCGGTTGGCGCTGATCTCCGGCTGCGGCGTGGCTGGAGGAGGCGGCTGTGGGGGAGGGTGGCTCCGGCGGCTACCGTGCCTCCGCCGGCCGTTCACGCCGCTGCTGCTGATGTTGCCCATGACTCGAGAGAGAATTGGGCGGATCTAGAAAGTTTGAGGAGGGTGGGGTGGGTGGAGCTAAGCTATTATTGGGTTTCTTTGCCGGCGGAAGCGGTGGCGGAGAGAGAGAGAGAGGGCGGCGGAGGAGTGGGGTGGGTGGGGGGAAAGGAATCAAGAGTGGAGAGGGATAATGGTAGGGAAAGGGGGAGAGACGAGGGATCGCGTAGAAGTTCCACTCTAACGCTCCACCATTTTTTGTTGTTGTTGTTGTTGTTGATCTCATGATGATGATGATTTAGGGATTATAGATAGGAGGGTGAAAAGAGACGCAGAGAGAGAGATGCACAGCACCCTTGTTTGTTGCTAAAAGTTGGCTTCTTTACACCACCTCTTCCTTTTTCGACGACAATTTTTATTAATTTAATATTAACAATTATTCTCCTTGTTAATGCGCCTATCTCTAGGCACTAGGCTTGGGGAATTTCTCCACTCTTTGTTTTTATCGGGTGATTTGTCTAAATTGCCTATGTTCGAATTCGATGTATTTGAAAAATTGAATTACTATTGTAACCCTAAATATGGGTAGGATTAGGGCTGGAAGTTTGGTATCGGTATTTGGGATATACCGAATGTCGTACCGAATTTTTCCATATTGTATTACCGAATACACGTATTATTTTGTGGGATTGGGATTGAATTTCAATTGTTATTCGGTATTAGGGATTACGAGATTGGGATCGGTATATACCGAAATACCGATCAATACCGAAATATAAGCTAGTGTGTATTTTATCCTCTCAACTAAACTCTCTCATTCAATACTACGCGACCATCAACCACCAAAAGTGTCATTTAATTATACACAGAGTATTACATCACTATTTCATACTAGTATTAGTCGTCTCTCAACCTCATATTCGTCAAATTAAAGATTACCCATTACAAGAACTTGAGATGTTAGCTCTAGGCAACTCAAGACTATTTGCTTAGTCTCTTTGCCCTAAATTAAACAATAAAATCTAATTTATATATTTAATTATTAATTGCAAAGGTAATTAATTATGTATTCGATAATACCGATTGAGATACCGAGGTACCGATTGGGATACCGAAATTATTTAGAGATTGAGATTGGGATACCGAAAATATTTAAGGATTGGGATTGGAATTGATTTTAGGGTGTAATTCGGTATTCGAGATTTCGGTATTTGGTATTGGGATACCGATTCTGTATCGATTTTCACCCCTAGGTAGGATGATAGGGTCGATCGGTAATTTGGTTAGTGGTTACCCACTAACAAAAAATCATTACTATTAATCAATTTTGTCAATGTAAAAACTAGATAAACCACAAAGAAAAGGACACTCAGGTTTACGTGGTTTCACCCGTTCTGTGAAGAACGAGACTACTTCACGGAAAACTCCCTAAGGAGCTTTCAGAGTATTATTATTCACCTTTGCTGCACTTTCACACGTTACCGCAACCAAGAGTACAAGATACATAGAAAGACCCTCCACCGGCCGTAGGGTTAAGCCAAAACTAAAAGACTTATATGGAAAATTACATAAACATCTACTATGGAAGTATCACAATACTCCCCCTCAATCTGTAGCGTGAAGATCACAAACGCCCAGCTTGGAAAGCAAGGAATGGAACTGGTTGGCCCCTAATGCCTTGGTGAAGATATCTACCAACTGCTCCAAAGTGTGGACTTTGGACGGAGCAATGTCACGAGACACAACCATCTCGATGTGCTTCGTCCGCTCGTGAAAGATGGAATTAGCCGCTATATGAAGTGTCGCCTGGTTGTTGCAGTACAGTACAGTAAGGCCAGACTGAGAAAACAGAAGCTCACGTAGTAACCATCGAATCCATAACAACTCACAATGGTTGCCATCGCTTGATATTCAGCCTTGGCTGATGATTGAGCCACCACATCTGCTTCTTGGTGCGCCAAGAGACGGGTGTCGAGCCTAAGATAATAAAGTAGCCTGTCGTAGACCGTCGAGTGCATAAGCACCATCCCCAGTCAACATCACAAAAAGCAGTCGAGTCTAACGAAACCTATGGTGGGAAGAAAAAGGCCTTGACCAGGCGCCCGTTTTAAATAATGCAACAAGCATTGGGCTATCGTCAAATGATCTGAAGTAGGAGTTGTCGTCGATTAACTAAGAATGTTGACAACATTGACGATATCGGGACGCATGACAGTGAGGTACATCAACTGGCCAACCAAGCGACGATAGGCAGAGACATCAATAGCAGGATCCAAATCAGGAAGCGGCTTCGTCAGCTGATGATTTTGTTCCATGGGAAACTGACTAGTCCGAGCACTTGTGAAACCCGCATTAGAAAAAAATGTCCAACGCGTACTTGCTTTGACTAAGCACGAGACCCTCATAAGAACGAGCAACTTCAATGCCCAAAAAGTACTTCAATGCCCCAAGTCCTTAATGTCGAACCGTGAATGCATAAACAACTTGACACGGTCAATAAAAGCACGATAATTTTCACCCACTACAATGTCATCCACATAGATCGATGTTGCCACAAAAACCAACCTCGTGCGATACACGAACAAGGAGTGATCGGCATGGAAATTAGCAAAGCCCATATGAAGTAGTGCGCTAGTGAATTTGTTGTACCAGTTTCGTGAGGCTTGTCGAACTTCATACAAAGACTCGCAAAGTTGACACACACGATTATCACCTGGTTGACCAAATCTCTGTGGTAGCTTCATATACACTTCCTCGTCAAGATCTCCATGCAAAAAAACACTTTTAACATCGAGTTGCTCCAAAGTCCAGTTACATAAACCCTTGGGAAACAAGACATGCCTTGAACCGTTCAATGGTGTCATCCGGGTAATATTTTATCTTGTAAACAAACTTGGAACCAATAACATGCATACCCTCAGGCAAATAAACCAAATCCCACGTATGATTGGCAAAGAGAGCATCAAGAGATGGGCATCTTTCGCATAAGCTAGACACCCAAACACCTGGAGATTATCAAGAGATGGAGGTTGATGTAACAACACTTCATAAGGGGTTTTATTATTGATGGCCTTGACTGGTCGACGATTTAGTAGGTAAGTCGCCGTCAGCACACATTACCTCCAAAACGCACCGGCAGATGAGCCTGAAAATGCAGAGCACGCGCTGTCTCAAGTAAAGAACGATACTTTCGCTCGACCACACCATTTTATTGAGTATTGGTGCAAGACATATGTAAAATGATTCCATTAAACTCGTAGTAATCCAACATTAGAGTTGACAAAAATTTAGACACATTGTCTGCCTGTATACGATGAAATGGATTACGAAACTGAGTTTTAGTCTGCTCACAAAATGCACGAATGTATCGACCTGCATCTGAATTTAATTTCAAGAAATATACCCAAGTTGCTCTATTAAAATCATCGACTGTCTATAAAAAGATGTGTTATTGCCATTTGTCAATCATACTCACATACCTCCTAGTAAATAAACATTCCAATTTTCCCTGCAGGCGTTGGACCCCAACCTAGTTTTCTAACAAGTTTCAATAAACAAACACGAAATTGAAAACTTCTAAGGTTCTATCAAAAGAAAACTTCTAAAGTTGAAGGAGTCAAGTAATGGATCTCAAGTAGGGCTGCAAATGAGCAGAGTCGAGTTATACTCCAGGTGGAGCTCAGCTCGTTAATAAACGAGTCGAGCTCGAGATCAGCTCATTTATTAACGAGCCGAGTCGAGTCGAGTCGAGCTCGAGTTAGCTTGTTTACTAAAATCTTGACTTTTATTTGGTACTTCATTTTGTATATCATGATACATATGATTTATTTTGTTAGCTAATCTCATATTATACTTTGTTGGTATCATATATAATTTAGTTAATAAATTTTAACTACTCCAAATCTTATTATTTCATAACATCGAAGCAATCTATGATACATAATTTCTTTTTAAAATAGAAAATAAAATACATTTGCTCACATACTCAACGTGTTAAACTTTATATATGACGAGATATATAATTTAACAACCATATGAATTAAAATCATAAGATATAGATTGATTCGTCCTTAAGTCGGTAATCAAGTTGGCTCTCTAGCCTCATGTTAAGACATATCATGATCTCCAAACAAGCGAGCTCACGAGTTTAGCTCAACAAACCACCGAATCGAGCTAGCTCACGAAATTCACGAGCTCAACAAAATTTAACTCATATTCGGCTCGTTTATTAACAAACCAAATTTAAAACGAACTTCTCTCAAGTCGAACGCCGAGCCGCTCGCAGTTCGGCTCATTTGCAGCCCTGTCCTCAAGTACCCAGAGACAGAGAGTCGTCCTCGTCCTTCCTCCTCTGAAATCTCAAGGATTCCAGTTCCTCCTTGGCATTTAAGCAAATCTTTATCCAGAAGAATTTATGTGCCGCTTCAGTTGCTTCTTCTCTCCTGAACTACAACCCACCACCAGAATTGGTGAGAAAATTATGCGGTTCCATTCCCAATTACTGATACTTTTTTTTTTGCTTAATGTTCTTCGTTTTCAGAGCTCAATTCAACTGTTCGACTGTATTTGTATTTCCAGGCGAAGAAGGTAATTTGAGGATTTTCAGTCTGCAAGAACTAAAACGGGCGACTCAAAACTTCTCTTCTGCGAAAAAGGTTGGGGAAGGTGGCTTAGGGTTCACTTCTTTGGACCATCTATTGGTCTCAGGGCTTTACTGTTTCTTTTGACTTCCTACACGACAAAAAAACAAGGGTCGGCTCCAAGATGGGTTCAATGGTGGCTGTGAAGGTTCTTTCTGTAGAGGTAGAATCGATGCGCGGGGAGAGAGAGTTCGTTTCTGAATTATCTGCACTTTCCAACCTCAGGCATGACAACCTCGTCGTTCTCCAAGGATGTTGTGAAGAAGGGTCGGATCGGTATTTGGTCTATGAGTATATGGAGAACTACAGCCTTGCACATACACTGCTTGGTAAATTGTCTCAATTAGTTGCCAACAGTAAAAGTTTCTGTCTTTTGGCTCTGAAGCATCGAATTAGTCAGTTCTCAATGTGAGTTTTCTGTTTTTCCCTGTATTTCCCCCCACCCACTTAGGCAATGAGCAGAACAGGATGAAATTCAGCTAGGAAGCCAGGCGGCATGTTTCACTTGGGGTTGCTTGTGGGATTGCTTATCTTCACGAAGAGGTCAAGCCTAATGTGTTGCACAGAGACATTAAAGCAAGCAATATACTACTGGATGATAATTTTACACCCAAAGTTTCAGATTTTGGTCTCTCTAGAATTCTGAGAGACAACAGAGTTGCTGAAACATTGTAAGTGTGAAAATGGGAGCACATTACGCTTTCTTCCCAAACTGATTAAATTGATGGTTAATGAATGAGTTTTATCTACTATTTGCTAAAAGGGGTTATCTTGCTCCGGAGTATGCTGTCAGCAGCCACTTGACACGAAAATCAGATGTTTATGGCTACGGCGTTTTGCTCATGGAGATTATAAGCGGTAGATCAGTTGTAGATTTTGATGTTGAACTTGGAGAGCGTTACATGGTTCAAAAGGTAGGAAATATACTGCACAACGAAACATGAACTTCTAATGACGAATGTAACTACGATATACAAGGCAGCAGCTTTCTTATTTTGGGTTTTGAATGGAATAAATGCAGGCTTGGAGCAATTACAGAGCAAAGAAGCTTTTGCAGATAGTAGATCCTGCTCTGAATATGAACTACCCAGAAGAAGAAGAAGCTACACGGCTCTTGAAGATCAGCCTTCTTTGTGTGCAAGAAACCGCCAAGCGCCGGCCTACAATGTCAACCGTGGTTCAGATGTTGAGCAATGAAATCGAATTGGAAAGTTACGAGATTTCTGAACCTGGGCACCTCAGTGATCTAATGGGGATTAGATTGCACAAACGGTACACATCTCAGACTAGTTCTTCAAGGAGCTCAACCACCACAAGCCTGCAAAGTACTGCACATTTTTTACTTGTGAGTTTTTGTTACAATCTTTGCACATATATAACATGTTTAAGCAAGTGAGCAAATAGGGGACAGGTTTTGTTCGGTTTCCTTAAGTCCTAACAAGAAGCATACAAGTTATAGAATGATGATTGCATTCTTTCAGATGTGTAAAAAAACTGTCATTTGGTAAATAAATAAAATGGCCCTAGCCATTAAAAACGCTTTCTTTGCCATGAATATAGGAGCTGCAGACAGGGAGGAAGAAGATCTAATCTTTTATAGGTCCTACCATGATTCTAAAACTGACCAATCAAAAGTTGGAAAAAAAACAGAACTTTGAAGGAGACATCCCTTGTAAAAACTCGAAGGAAAGTGCGATATACATGGTAGTTGAAAAGGGGGAGAAAAGGTTTAAGAGCAAAAACCAAGTAGTGGGAGCCCAAGTTCTGAACTTGAAAACTATATTTGAATGAATAGCAGCAGGCAGCCCTTTCACTTCCAGGGCCATAGTGCTGCTGCTGCTGCGAGAATGGCAACATTCTAAGTTTTGCAACCTAAAAGAAGCACAGAGATTCAATATGAGGAAGGGAAGATGGCAAGTTGATATTGGGTGGCAGAAGCATGCATGGCTCCTCGCACGCCATCCACCAAGCCCCACCAAAACTGTGTTGATGAGCTCTTGCAAATGGCATACAGGGAGCCAGGCACGCCCACAACTTACCACCATCACCATGACCACCTAACCAACCTTATTGAAACCTTTTTTTCTTTTGGAGAATGCTATGTTGGAAGTTGAGGTTTTGAGAATGGCTAGTGATGAGTAAATAAAGAGGTGGAAGAAGATGAAAGAAAGGGCTGGTTTGGCTTGAGGGCCAATACTCAGTACTCTCAAGTTGAGCTGAGCTGAGCTTGGAAGACTCTCTTGATTTGCCTTTCGGCCAGCTTTTGAGTTGGCCAATTTGGCACGTAGTAGGGGGGACAAAGCACGAATAGGGAAGGAAACAAGAAACCCACACCGCACGACCTGCACCAAGGGTGTGTGAATGATGCGTGTGTGGGGATGTGATGTTGTTCTTCTTCTTCTTGTTTCTCTAAGAGCACTTGCAAACTGAAAGAGAGTGATGGTGAAGATTTGAGGGGGGGAGATATATAGAGATGGACTTTAACATATCTTTCCCCCTTTTTCTTCTTGTTCTTTAGATTCTTTTTGGGCTTGAATTCACGTCAAAAAGCAGAGTGAGGAAGAGAGAGGGAGAGAGGGAGAGGGCGTGCTTTGTTGTGCTGTGCTGTGCTGTGGTTCTTTTTTCTGCTGTTCCTGAAACGGATTTGTCTGCAAGTGCTTGGATGAGTATACGATTCTTCTCCAAGAAAAAACAAGAGAAGAGAAAAGAGAAAGGTAAAAACAAAAACAAAAACAAAAAACCCGAAGAAAAGAAAATCTTTATCACTCTCTCAACCGCCCACATTTATTCTCACCCTTGTAAGTTGTAAGCATTCCTCTGAAGAGAGCTTGGTAAAAGAACCAATGAGGTGCTCTGTTGTTTATCTGCTTTGGTTTTGGTATGGGGGAAGTTTCAGTTTTCGCCATTAGAAGCATACTATGACACATGACAAACAGGGGAGGTAAGGTAAGGAAGGAAGACCAATCTGCCATTGGTGATCTCTCCCCCGGCTCCCAACTCGGAAAGGAGTTTGCCCCTTTCTGAACAGAAGCAGAAAAAGGCAAACCATGCAAGTGTGATTTCCTGGCTTGCCAATAAAAGTAAGAAGCAACAGGGTAGGCAGGGCAGTAGAGGAGAGGAGAGCAGAGATTCCCATGACAAGTAGCTCAAAGACATGCGCTAAAATTCCTTTACGGATTAATATTCCTTTTTCATCAGTATGGTGAAGGTTTGAGAATGATGGTTCTTCACATGGGACAAAAGACACCACTGTGTGGTAAGCAAAATAGAAAAGCTGTTTCACGAGGCAAGAGAAGGGAGAAAGAAAGAAAGAAAGAAGAGAGGCAGTTTGTCAGAGACACAAGACTACCACCACAGCACAGCACTTGCTTGTGCTTGCTTGGTGTTTGCCTCAACAAGAATTGCCCACCACCTTTCTGTTTGGACCCTTTTTCTCAGGAATCTTCTTTTTACTCTCTCTCTCCCTCTCTCTCTCTACAACCCACTAATCCATTTTTCTACACATTGAAAGTCCCTTGGACCAGAAGGGTTTATTAACCAACAAGTTATAAAATTTACTCAATCAGATACTTGGCACCAAGTCAGGATTTGTGTGCAAGGAGCTGAAACTTAGGAAGACAGACAAATAATAATGCCACACTCTGTTAATCCTCGTGGTTTTGCTGGGTAGGAAACTCAGGGGGGACAGATCCTACAATGACAAGGATCAAGTCAAAGCCCTAGCTACAGCATCCGTCTGATCCCTTCATGAACAACACAAGAGGCACAAAAATGGTCCTGCCCATTATTAGGACTACTGATCAAAACAAAGTAGTCAAAATCAAGATTTTGATCGTAAAATCGTAGGATTTTAAGATTTTACTTAGGGATTCCGATCTTGATTTTACTATAAAATTGGTGGACCTTAAAATCGTTTAAAATTGGGATTAAAATCGTAAAATCGAACCAAAATCGGGATTTAAATCGTATGAGAACAAAATGGGAGGTTTGAGCAAATTTAAAAAAAGCGGAACTGCTTCGGCAGAAAGGACAATGATGGGCATCTTCTTAGATATTTTTTCTATTAAAAAACATTTGAAAAGATAAAAAATAATCAAATTAGGGCTCGTTCAATCCCTTTCCCTTCGTACGGTTGAACTCATCGGTAAAATAGTTGTCCTAATATTGTACGTACGTAAAAATTAACATCATTATTAACAACTAATGATTATATTTTTATCCACAACTAGCATTAATTATTCTATTGGAGTTCTTTTATTCTTAGTTTTAAATCATGATTAGCAAATGATGTTGAAATTAACCGGGCCGAAGTAATAATTTGAGTTAAACTACCTAGACACAACATGAAAAACAAGAGCTAAGCCCCATGATCTCTATCCTTTCCTCTTGAATTATTTTGAGTTATGCATTAAAAACAATTAAAATGATAATTTTGGAACATTAATCTTGAGAATTATCATTTTAAATGTTATGTGTCTTTGTGTTATGAAATGACTTACCTTATTAATATGATTATATGTTAGTTTCTAAATGGAACTTAAAATCCTACAATTTTACAATTCGATTTTACCTCAATTTTTGATTTTAGGTAAAATCCCAATTTTGACTGTTTTGAATCAAATACCTAGCTATTGTTATTTCACAGCAATTGGGCAGCAGCAGATGATTTGTACTACAAAGAATAGTGTACAAAATCACAATTTGAATCCCCTTTAGGAGGGATCCTAACGCGAATCCACAATTTTTTGCCAAATTGAAGCTACAGATTATTGTATTTGAATGATGATGTGCAATTGGTTTTCGAGAGCGGATCTCATGATCAAAGGGTCTTTAGTCACTTGACTAAGCTCCTACTAGCCATTAGATCTAGACAAATCAATTCAATGGTTAAAAAGTGGGAATAGATTTTTAATTAGTGGCAGGGGTAATTTGGATATTATGAAAAATTACAAAGTATACAAACCGGACTTACAAACAATACAAACTAAAACGACAAAACATACAAACAGATTTACAAACAATACAAAACATACGAACTGTACAAATAATACAAACTAGACCGACAAACAATATAAACCATACAAAATGAAAAAACAACCATGTTGACTTAGGAGGCTCCATCCCTATATAGAGGGTCTCCGTCACAAAGTCAACCATGTTATTTTTTAGACATACAAACATTACAAACATGGTGGATAAAAATAACAAACTAGACCGACAAATCATACAAAATGGAAAAACGCCCTGGTTGACTTTGGAGGCTCCATCTCTATACAGAGGAGTTCCATCCAAAAGTCAACCGGGTTGTTCCTTTTTTAATCATAAAAAACATTACAAACATGGTGCACAAAAATAACAAAGGGTCCAATCCAGTGATCGAAAGCTAAGCCTGTTGTTGAGATGATCATGCAAAGCACCATGATGCATCATTATTCATACACCAGAAGTCTCCCCCATTTTCGAGCAGTAACCCAGTAGGTTGGTGATTTTTAAATGTCTAACATTGTACAGAACTTCTAAATTCGTTACAAAGTCCCTACTAGTGGTGTGGATTATAGTTGCATCGTTTGCTCTTTTAACTTCGACCAACCTTACATATGTAAGAACAGCTTTGTAAACAAACCCATAACTTCCATGCCCAAGTTCATTGAACTCCTTGAACCTATTTGTGGCATCTTTTAGTTCGAACAACCGAAAATTTTGGGCCATCCCGGGACACTATGAAGCCGATATAGGAAGGTATATTTCACAAGCAATATCACCACTTTCCAACTCTAGTGTTCCTCTGCCATCATCCTTCCTTTCTACAACAGTCTCTTAACCATGAGAAAAAGCACCACATGAGTAAAATCAATAAGTAGCCATAGCACCTCCACGACATTGCTTTTCAGTTGCTTCTATCTCCACCAAAACGTTGCTGCAGAACCCTTCCGGCTCCAAGGAGATTGTTTCTTTGCAATTGCTTTCTATCGTCTTCAGTCATCTTGTCGCCCCTTTCCTCCATCGCCTCCAGAACAACAGTTCACCTCTCTATACCATCACTTACCCAAAAGACTCAAAAGAAAAAGACTACTTCCTCGAAGCTCCATCCATGGCTACGACCTTGTGCTTCTCAAAAGCATATCTACACCAAACATACTAATTGCAACGGATCTCTCCTACAATTAGTATTTAAAACTCAAACTATATGATGCTCTATGGAGAAAGAGAGTGATAAACAATACATAGGAGAGTTATTTGTTTAATTACAATAGTTTGAAAAGAGGTCATGATAGAAGGCATAGTTGATTAATCCGATGGTGAAGACATTTGAATCCTTCCATTCACATTGAAGTCCTAGTTGTAACAAATGTATATGTATAACTCGACACTTGGTTAAAATAGATGAGGATACTACTCTCAACCTTATCCCAAAGTGCAGCACGTACAAACGCAACATGAACAACAAAGAGTAAATTCCGCAACTTTCAAAGGATTAAGAGAAGGGTATTTTTACTTATACCTACTGTTCAAGCTATTAATCCATACCAGAGCAAACATTTTGCCCATCCCAACTTAAACAACACCCTGGACCAAACCAAACACCAAAAGATTGCAAAGTGGAACACTAATGTTAAACTAAATAGCTTACCGCAACTATCCGCAAATACTATTAAGACAAAAGTAAGACAGAATAGCGGATTCATAAACCAGTAAAAGCATATGGAAAGAATTGAAAGATAGAACAACGTAGGGGAATTTTACATTATGATTCATCTACTTCTACATGGCTTGATTTTGGCCATCATTGCTCACTAAAGCTAGCTGGCTAGAGTGAGCTTCATCATTGCTCACTAAAAAGGTACAATGCATAAATTTCTACACATCCCGAACAGAAAATATGAACTGAATAGATCGGCAAACAACAAATAGAAATTAGATAAAATTTGTCAAACAGGTTGATGATGCTTAATTAGTACTTCTCTTTCGTTAGTGAAGAAGCAATTCGGAGCAGGTGATTATAATATGTGATGAATGATAATTCTGGCGCGCAGGCTAGGGGTGGGGAAATTGAAATTCGTAATGGCGAGAGGAATGTTATATTCTAATGGCGGTCCGGTCGTTTTTATGGGATTCAATGGCGAAGGAGCTGTCGTTTTGGGTCGGTCTCGGTCTCCTTAATAATATCGACAGTAATTTCTGTGTGCTTTGAGTGTTGAGATGTTTATGGATTCTTTGGGATGATTTTGGGCCCATGGGCTGTGACCTTGAGAAAGTTATGACCAAGTGGGCTCCCGTTTGCACCTCTTATTGGACTTCAGTTTCGGCTCACTTTAGTCCTGCACTCGGCCACGTTTAAATGGACGCATATACACTTTCCCAATATTTCCATCTCTCCTTTAGGGTGTGCTATACTAGTTGGTATGTATCAGACCCAAGGTTGTCAACCCGCGGGTTGACCCACGGGTCGACCCAATTTGACCCTGACCCGGTAAGAAAAACGGGCCGTACGCACCCGTCGGGTCGACCGCTATTAGGTACCGGGTTGGAGGTCAAATTGTGTCATTTTTTTCTTTAGTTTGCGAAATGTGCCTATTTTCCAATTTTTCTTTTCGCCTAACTCAATCTTTGGAATACTAAGTTGAACATTTGAATATTTATGTTATATAAGTGTGTGTGAATTTTCACTATATGTTGGATCTAAGTACGATATGTTATTTTGGTGTAATATTATATGTTATAACTCATATGTTAAATAAGATTTTATATAATTTATGAGGATAAGTGCAATATAATGACTCTTTCTATATTTCCGGGCCAAACCGGGCTAAAATGATTGACCCATTAACCCTTGACCCACTAGCTCGACCGGGTCCGGGTCAACCCGCGGGTTGACAACCTTGATCAGACCGCATCGAACAAAATCAATGTTTGGATCAGATCATATCAAATTGAATATAACGTAGTTTGGTTCTTGTTCATATCAATAAGAAACCCTAGTTTTGAGTATTAAACTCTTACTTTTTTCTTTCTTGCCGAATCGTGGAATCGAGCCGGTAAGGAGAGCCGACGTTATCAACTAGTTCATCACCCTAGTTGTAGTGCCACATCGTATACTTCATCCTATTCCCAGCCGTGTAGTAGGTCCGAAGGTTAATTCCGTTTTGTGTTCGTTGTGTTACTAACCATTTATTTTGCTACGTTTCTGATTGATAAGTCCGGGAGTTGGAGTTTCGACTTATATTAAGACCTCACAATATCTGAAACTTGCCGGTATGGGGATGAGTTTGAAAAATCGCCCTCGCATGGGTACATGGTGGATTTGTGGATTGGGAGATGGGGATGGGGAAGCAAATAGTTTAGGTAAATCTGCCCAAACCCGATTCATTGCCATCCCTATATACCATTGACTAACACCTCCATCCCACGTTTTGGTTATTATCGGTATTCTTTTAATTTTTCTCTTGCTTTGTGATTTTTAAAAGATTGTAACTTTATTTTTAACTTCTTTTTCCATTTTTAATTACAAATTTAAGATAACAAAAATATTATATTTGGTAAATTTATTAATTTTATGAAAACTAAGTACACATACATAAATATAGATATAAAGATGTCACAATTATGACCAAATACAAAAAATTTCTATAAAAGGTTATAATATGTTTTTAATTTATTAGTAAACTAATTTTATTATTGATAATTTGAAAAGTAAAATATATTATTTCAATTATATGACACATTATTAATTGGTAAAAAAGGTGTGGATTAGATAAAAAATGGTTAGTTGTATTAAAAATGGTTAGTTGGGTCCATTATATGAAATAAAAATTGAATTTAATTGATGTAGAGAATATGTAATTGCTATGCAGTATAATTTTGAAAATAGTTGTTGTGAAATAAAATTTTATTTTATGGATGCGATGGTTAAAGTTACTAGTTGACTTTCATTATTTAGCATTTTATAAGGTTTGACCAGTTTTTAGTATTTCAAATATTTTTTTTATTATTCTTTGTCCAAAAACTTTAAAAGTTTCAACTATTTTTACTTTTTTAGGATTCATCCAGCCCTCAGTTTATTTTAGACTTGAATCTCCAAAGTCCAGACAATATTATCCTTATCTTCTTTTAATATGACAAGAGTTTATGGTCTATATATATACTAATAATATGCACCACCACGACAGCAACACACTTATACATTTTTATTATCATTGGAAGAGAAGGACGAAGGAAAAAGCAAACAAGCATATTGCTGCAGGAAATCACAAGTTCATTTCGGCCACACAGATTAAAACAAGATGGCCCAGAAAGAAAGAAAAAAAGCACTCGGAGGAAGAAGCTAAACCCAAATTGATGTCTCGACGACCATACTTGACTGATACAACAACAACAACAACAACAACCAATGTACATTTTCCATTGAGAGATTACTCCCCAGCTACACCTGGAACCCCATTTTTTCCCGCCGAGTGATGGCGTGGAGAAACTTAGTTGTTGGAGGAGCTCCTGAAGGACCCAAGAGCCTTGATAGCTCCAGCTCTCAGTATGTATTGATGGTAGAACGCAGCAATCGCAGCTCCAATGAACGGCCCAACCCAGAACATCCACTGTGGAGGAATCAAATATATTAAAACAAGTTAGGTTAACTTTTCGATTCTAAAAATACTCTGTTTTTTCCCCGAAGCAAAAGACCAAAAAAACAGAGGATGGAAGGAAAGCATTGAATTGAATTCGTACATGGTCATCCCAAGCCTTGTCCTGGTTGTAGATCACCGCCGCTCCGAAGCTCCTAGCCGGGTTGATCCCGGTTCCAGTCACCGGAATTGTAGCCAGGTGAACCATGAACACGGCGAACCCAATTGGGAGTGGCGCCAGGACCTATAAAATTGCAAGGGGGAAAAACCTTCAATTGAAGCTGAATTCCAAATCTAGGGTTTGGGTTCATTCAAAAAAACAGTGCTACTCACGGGGACATGGGAGTCTCTGGCGTTTCTCTTGGGATCAGTGGCGGAGAAGACAGTGTAGACAAGAACGAAAGTGCCGATGATTTCCGCACCGAGCCCAGTGCCCTTGTTGTACCCATCGGCGAGCTCGTTCGCCCCGCCGCCGTACCTGGTGTAGTAGCTCTTCTGGAACGCCTTGACGAGCCCACACCCGCAAATTGCGCCGAGGCACTGGGCCGCCATGTAGAGCACCGCCCGGACCAGGGAGACCTTCCTGGCGAGGAAGAGGCCGAAGGTGACGGCGGGGTTGATGTGGCCGCCGGAGATGCCGGCGGTGCAGTAGACGAGGACGAAGATCATGCCGCCGAAGGCCCAGGCGATGCCGAGGATGCCGACGCCGCCGCAGGGGTCGACGGCGGCGCCGGGCTTGTTGGGGTCGACCTGGCTCTTGTAGCCGATGACGGTGAGGACGGTGATGTAGAGGAAGAGGAGGGTGGCGATGAACTCGGCGATGACGGCGCGGTAGAGGGACCACTGGGTGAGCTCGTCGGCGTCGATGAGCGGGGCCGGCGGTGGGTCTTGGTAGTCCTTGGGCTGGTACTCCCCGACTTGCCCTTCCACGTCTTTCGCCATTTGATGATGATTGATGATCAGAAAAGGGAAATGGAGTTGAAGAGAGAGGCAGAGAGAGGAAGTTGATTGTTTTTTGCTTTGGTGTGTGTTTGAGTGTGTGAATCAGTGAATGGTTTGGGTATTTATGGGAGTGGGAGAAGGGCAGAGTGACATTGTTGCACAAGTTTTCAATGTTTTTTCTTTGTGGTGGTGGGGCTTTGGGAGTGGTACATGAATGAATGTATTATGTATATTTTAGCTTACCTTTGCCGCCCCATTTTGTATCTCTCATTGCTGTGACCTTACAATATTTTCATTTTTTGTTTCTTTCTTTCTTTCATTGATTTGGGTTAGTGTCAAGGTGTGTGCGACTCTCTGGGGGCGTAGGGCTGGACAATTGGTTATCGAAAGTTGGTTTATATGATTTTTGTCTTGTGGATGTTCGATTAACCGAAAACAGAGATAACTGAAGGATTAAACCCTCTTTCGATCGGTGGTCGATAGGGTTGGGAGGTGGTTCGATTGACCGATAACGGACCCTTCGGTTATCGGTGATAACCGAACCGACTGACTCTCCACCCCTAGTGAGACGTTGTGATTAGATAAGGTTGCAACAATTTTTTGCATTTTCCTTCCTTTTGGGTGTTGGTTGGGGTGAACATTCCAGCAATTTTCTAAGGCATGCATTGATAATTTTGTTTTTGGTTGTGTGGTTGTTGGTTTCTTGATTGCTGGGATGCAGATCAGTGAAGAAGTGGGGAGGATTATCTTTCAGATTCCCTCTCTCTGTGTGTGCCATGTGGGTCTAGGTCACTTGCCAAGGATCAAACCCATATCATCTGTAATGATAATTATTAGCAACTTATGTTTGCTATTGTTGTATTCATCTTTATTATGCTCAAAGAAATTAATCCAAATTCAAATAAAAGGATTTGAAGTTAAACAGAAGCAAACTGAATATAAGATAGATAGAGTTTACCGTCTCCTTAATATTCGGTTTGTGATGATATTTGTCTATACATGTACAAAAAGTGACACATGACGATGGTAAACTACGAGTTCCGCTCTTTCGAGATTCAATTTTGCTTACCAAAGGTAAGGAATTCATTCACAAGTCAATTAGTTAAAAGAAAATGAGTTTTTTTTTTTTTTTATGAATAGAGTGGCTACAATGTTCACTAGCTAGTTCACAGTACTGCTAGTTTTATGGTGATATGCAGCAAGTAGAGAATACATCTTGATCTTGCCCCGAGTGAGACTGAGAAACGCGGATTGAGTTGAGTTGGCCCGCTGTCGCAAAGTCAATTCTCTCGTGCGCCGGCTAGTTTGTGATGAGATGAGAACAGACAAAGAAAGAAACCGACCAAAATGGAATGGGGCTTCTCTCTGTCTATTCGAGCTATCTGCTATCATTGCAAAATGCAAAGTAGCAATCACCCACCACCGCCCATCCCACCTCAGTCCTCGTCACTGTTTTGTTTCTCCCCCGCGGCTCAACCACTCCCTTTGTGCCACCTGTCCCCGTCCCCGCCCGCCGCCACGCTCAATTATTCTAATGTTTTCTGCTCCGCCAATCCAATCATAACCACTCAGACTTCGCCCAGTAATTGGGAAAACAAAAAACCACACACAAGAGAAGAGAAAGCAAAGCCAAATAATAACGTTGGTATACTTGTGGATGGAACTAGGACACTTGGCGCGCGCACATACTAATTATTCCCCAGCAAAATGATTGTCAATAACTCAATATGATGGTCGGCTGGCCTGTCCACTTTCTTCCTTCCATGTATACTTTATTTTATCTAAACTGATAGGCATTTATTTATCAAATACAATCGGGTTAGGTATAAAATTTAAATACTAAGACAAATGAATATATTTTAATGATTTGGTATTATTTTTTTGTATGGTTAAATCAAAATTTCATTAAGAACTGGCAACCAATAACAAACCGCTATGGCGCTCCTAAAAAACAAACAAGTTTTGTACAATATATAAAAAGCCTTCGTACATAGATAAGGAAGAAAACCGGAAGCAAAGAGTAAACTACCCCAAACCCCTAGACTCGTAACAATGCAGCAGACTCTGGTCCAGTTGACAACGAAAAGCGGACTATCCGTTTCGCCTCAAGCACCAGCTAGGAAGGACTCCACGCACCCTTTGAGCCATACATCCTGGAACAACGTTCACACCAGATTATACTGATCGTCGCACTTTAGGACAACCAATTCAAAGCTTCTACAGATGATTCGCCACTCCACCAACAAACACACCACTGTAGTATTGAGGAGTTGCAGCCTGTAAAATCACAGAAAGAACGAATCTGATATATGCACACTCTGCAAAGAGATGAAGACGAGATTCATAGCCTCCTGGACAAAGCATACACAGGCCAAACCGAGGCTTGCCCCACGCAATGAATTTGTCATGCAACTCATCCTATCATTTATAACAAGCCATAGAATAAATCCATGTCGATTGTCGAGGGACAATATGTTTGTTCCAAACAAGTCTATACCATGGCACAATATTCTCATGTTGTCTAAAAGAGTTCCAGGCTTTCTTTATAGAGTAGGACGCCATCACTCCCCCATCCAATGTCAAACCAGCCCCCAACCGTAATATATAAGGTCTGAGCACTTCTAATATGCTTTAAAGTATTAGAAGTGCATATAGGTTCATTTGGGTCCGACGCAGTACCCGTATGAGTCAAGCCAATTGGGTCAAATAACCCAATGACTCTACCCATTGCCATGTCTATTCTATGTCAAAACACATGAAACAATTATTGAAATGTATTGTAGGTAAATGCATATGTTTGTCTCGGAATGACATTGAGAATGAGATCATTTGTATTTTTCCCTTCTCGTAGGAAATTCATTGAGTTAATTTTCGATGCTCCTTTTTCCGATAATTGTTGATCTTTTATAACTTTATCTGACCGGTGTCCTATAATACCACCGCAGGATTATACCCCAACCGGTTTCCTGTAAAATTCATCTACTGTACCAAGTGTACAATTTGGCGCCTTTAAGTTTTTATTACATGATCATCCAATTTCCTTTTTAAGTTAGTCAGTTTAGTATCAGTAACAATAATATCATATCATCATTAAACTGCTAGGGCTGGATCATATTGGTATCAGTATAGTATCGGCATTATAGCCATTGGTATGCCTCCAGGGCCAGTGCTTACCATCATAATCCATTAGTATATCACATCATCAATCCATTCATCTTTAGCTTTAGTGTTTTTATCTTTAGTGTTGCCAAATCATCCACTCTCCGGTGGTACAGTAGATGTTCTGTAAGAGCATCCACAACGGCTTCCATTTGACAATTTCATTCTGACGTGGCTGCTGTCAATTGCTATTTCATGGATGTAGCAAGTCCTTTCACTAATGGAAGATTTCACTAAATGAAATTCTCTATGAAACTACAAGTGGGTAGAATCATGGGCCCAAATCTCACCTTTTGCCTTCTCTTTTCATTTTCACTTTCTTTTATAGTTTCATTCATATAGAAGAAATGTTTAGTTGTAATAAAAAATTAGTTGGACCCACAAAATGAAATAAAAAGTTGATTTCATGGATGTAGAGAAAATGAAATTGATATGTAGTGAAATGGTAAAAGTGGTTGATGTGGCAATAGGGACCGCATATGAAATGAAAATGCTATTTCATGAATGTAGATGTTCTGTAATATCACCACGGGATTAGAACCTGCTCTGTGTCCTCTGTAACACCACCTCGGGATTAGACCATGAACGATATTCATAATAGTTGTAACCATGCATTAAAAATACAATGTTCGGTCATTGATAAAAGGTTATCAGTTTTTAAAAAATTGAAAAGTTATTATGACGTCACCTTAATATCATATGAAATTAAACATTCCACTAAATTTGAAAAGTTTCGAATACACATTGTAAATAAGTTGTATTCAAATGATATTTCGACCCAGAGGTTGGACACATCAAACCGAAGATTGTAAAATCATATTAGTGGTTGTGGTTGTACTAAAAAAGTGAACGGTAGGATATTATATGCAAAAATCGTAGTTTAAACATGGTTCAACCATCTCATATCACTAAAATCGTCTATCAATGTAAACTCTAGTAGTCTCCATCGAAATCACGGGTACGGTACTGTTTTACAAACGCCACAAAAAAAGAGAGTGGGGCACGAGTGAGAAGAAGATTCGGGCCGAGAAGAGAAATTGAGGTCCTGGGGTTTGAAGATGAGGGACGCCGGCGAGGACAAGCGATGCGTGGGCTGGGCTAGCTAGAAAAAATGGATACGTGACATGTAATGGGACCGGAAAGAGTAGTCCAGTAAAAAGGGCAGGCTTTCGGCAAGTGGACAGGCCCACTGCAGTTGTTACAGTCTTGGGCCGGTCCATGCTCCATGAGATCACTAGATGCAAAACACGGGATGTTTCCATTGAACTCCGTCAACGTGAAGGAGGAGGTCGAACAGTTACGAAATAAGATGGAAATCCAACCCAAAAGCAACACAGGCTTTAATTTGTTTAAGCTCCTGTCGAAAATACTTGGCGGAGACAATGAAAACTTGAAAACATCCCCATTTCGACTTGGAAACCCCGACACCATAACATTAAGCACATCCCTTTTTTCCAAATGATACACAATTTCTCGGAGCCAGAAGAGCCGAGCAGATCATATATGAGATTAAGAAGGAAACAGAAAAGGGGTTGGGGGTAGATGATCATGAGCTAGCTCCCGGTTTCTACAAGTTGAGATTCATGATCATGCTGATCTTCACTACCTTCGTCTTCTTCTGCAATGGGCTGTAATCTAAATCTAGTAGTAGCAGGGGAATCAGCAGCACAAGGGTACTTGACAAAAAGTGGCGGGGCAACCTCAGCCCACGGATTGATGAAAGGCCTTTTCGCGACGACGATGCCCTTAGCCATTCGAGCACAAATGACCCGATGGTTTCAGAAAAAACAGAGTGGAGGGAGGGTGTTGCTTGCTTCTGAAATTCGATTCCAATGAAGGTGGTGGCTAGCTGCTCACTGCTCAGTTGATTGATCGATTGTGGAGGGTTGATTTATGAATATAATCTGGCTGGTTTTGTGTCCATTTTATACGGAAGTGAATTGGCGTGAGGAATTGAGAAAGAAGTTTCCGGATTAACA